GTTTCAAAGAAGTGAAGACTCATCTAGCTGTAATTCCCGGAGGTCTTACCAGCCAGTTGCAACCTCTTGATGTTTCCATCAACAAGCCATTTAAGGTCTTAATGAGAGAAGAGTGGAACAAATGGATGACTGCTGGTAATCATGATCTGACACCTACTGGACGAATGAAGAGGCCCACCATCACTCAAGTTTGTGAATGGGTGAAAACATCTTGGGACTCAGTGAAGGAGGAGATTGTTGTACAGTCATTCAAAAAATGTGGCATTAGCAATGCCTTAGATGGAACTGAGGACGATATCTTATATGAAGACAGCGAAGAAAGTGATGTCAGTGATTGTGAGCAAATGAGCTTCCTAAATTCTGACTCTAGTGATGGTGAGTTCTTGGGGTTTCCAGAAAACTAGAGTACACAAAGCTTTAAGTCTCTCCATTTATTAATGACAGTGGTAATGGTTCTTAATGCCACTGTTGAATGCTGTTCACTTTACATGTTTCAGATGTTATTCTGTTATAGTTTATTAAATATTTCATTACAATATTTGGTTCAGAATATTTTTTTCCAGTTTCCCTCCTCTAAAAATTAGGTGCGTCTTAAGTTCCGGAGCGTCTTATGGAGCAAAAAATACGGTATATCAGTTTCTTCAACACAAGCCAGAATATAGATTTCTGAAATGTCTATGCAGTATGCTATTGGATAGTATACCATGAATTTCACAAAACAAGTATAAAATACACAAAAATGAAGATTTATATGCAATACCTGTGTTATGATCCAGTGCATCTTCTGTAGTTAATTCTGTGTCATCTAGAAAAGAGAAGCAAAGTTATTGTGCTATTTTGTTTAAATCAAAATCTGACTGACAGACTGTGCAAGAAGATAGGATCAGGATTGCACAAATTCCCCTGCCTTCCATTTTTCTTATACTAGATGTGATGTTGCATAAAAGCCTACAAGTAAGCTCAACCTGTTTAGCCTAAACAATAAAACACACACACTTGCAAATTTGTGACAAAGCTCATTGTTACGACACACATATGTTGACTTCAGAGCACATGTGCTTTATCGAACTATGACACCTGTAAATGCCAGATGTGTTACAGGAGATGGAGCAGACCATTCTGATTCATTCCCACCTCCCTCAGCACTCAATATACTCATCAGCCTAAAGTTACACAGCCACAACAGTCATTACAATGCATGCCTATATATGAATGACACATGTGACAATTCAAACTTCCTCATATAAGCGAAAAGGGCAATTGATTTTAAGTAGCCACTGTAGATTTTTGTAATTTCACAAGAGCAGAAGTTTGCAACAGTGAAATTTCTCATAAATACAGAGCTTTTAGTTGATAATTACATCCTAGCTGGCTAGATTGGTGAGTTGGAATATGCAAACCCAGGCTTGAGATTTCAAATCTCCACTGTGCCTCCTGGGAGAAAATTCAGCCTGTATAGCCTTGGTCAAGTGGACCAGTCCTAGACTGTCATCAGAAGAAGAGATGAACAAACCACTTCTGAGTCCTTTATAGCTAGGAAACTTTGGCAAGGGTCACTGTAAGTTGGAAGCAACTTGATAATACACAATTATTATTATCACTTATGGACTATAGATAGCATGGTGAAAATAAACTACTGGATGGGGAAGACCTGAGCTCAGCCTCCTATCCCTCTTGAGGATTCCTCCATCTTAAAGCCAGTCATAATCTAGCCTAGGCTTGCTTTCAAAACTGTTATTGTAGAAGAAGTGGTGCATATTCTTCAAAATAAAGCAAGAGTTACAAATAAAATAATTATGTTCATGTCTGCACACAATTTTAAAACATACAGTGCTACATTTATGTTGTTTTGTTTATCATATACAGTATTTAAGGCAGACAGCTAATAGGATTCAAGCCCATGTTTCAACTTATTAAATTAGTATTTTTATTTTAAAAATTAGGGTGAAACAGAAATCAGTAATAAAGAACAGCCTTTGGTAATCACATACTGCTTAAGCGAGGCACATGTCCAGACTACCTGACACTGAGAAGCCATTTCCTGTTCTCATTAGCTTTAAATAAAAACTGTCAGCTTTCAAGCCTCTCAAAAGGTCCTGGGAGCTGGTGATTTTGCCCCCCCTGGACCCGTGGGGGTGGGGTGGGGGAAGCATGGTAAGGGTCCAAGGGAGTCTTCCAGATCCTTGCCACACTCCCCCCAACCCCCCACGGGGCCAGTGCGGGCAAAATAGCGACCTTCCAGGACCTTTTGAGAAGCTTTCAAGCCTCTCAAAAGGTCCTGGGAGCTGGCGATTTTGCCCCCCCTGGACCCAGGGTGGGTGGGGAAAGCTTCTCAAAAGGTCCTGGAAGGTTGCTATTTCGCCCGCGCTGGCCCTGTGGGGGGGTGGGGGAGCATCGCAAGGGTGCTGGAAGGCTCCCTTGGACCCTTGCGACGCTGCCCCCCACGGGGCCAGTGGGGGCGAAGTCACCACCTTTGCATCATAAGACACACGGACTTTCTACCCCCCCCTTTGGAGAGAAAAAAGTGCGTCTTATGGTGCAAAAAATACGGTATTTAGCACAAGAAGTCACCGTAAGTCCAATTTGAATCAATGGAACATACAGAGGAGATGACTTAGCAAATCCCCATTTATTTAATGGGACTATTCTAGTGCAGTTTACTATACTAAGCAATAGGATTTTGGTCAAAGAAACCAATGTATGCTTTCACTTAACACCAATAATTTTCCAGAAAAAATAGACAAACCTGTGCCTTCAGGTTGATATATATCTTCTTCCACATGTGTGTGATGCTCATATGTAACTGAAAATTAAGAATTTCATGTTATACTATAAGAAACTATTGATACCACTGTCATGGTGAACCTAAAGGTCCATATGCTCAAAAAAGCAAACTGGTGAGAAAGAATACACAACTGTAATAGGAAGATTGCTTAAGTTTAATTAACAGTAGTCATTGAAGGAATAGAAAAAAATTCTTCCAGCAACAGAATCAATGTTGTTTAACTAATGTATATTAACTCAAATTTCACTAGTGTTTGATTCAGCTATTTCACAAAGCTACCCAAAAGACAGCAATTTAGATGTCTTATAACTACTGAATTAGTAATATTCATTCAAAAGGGACTTATTCCCAAGTAACTGAGTCTGGATTGATGGAAGAAAACACACCAAGTAGAATACAGAGCAAAATGTAATAATAAAGCTATTAACAGTGAATTATCTGACCACCACCCCTTGTCTCAATACCCAAATTCAAACCTAGAGAGGGTGGCCTATGTATAAAATATTGTCCAGCAGAATTTTTCCATCTGTAAATTAACCTCACTGAGTGGACCTTCCACTTAGAATACAGTAGAATAAAAAAGAGATTGGTAGTTAAATCTTAGGTGTATGCCATCTCAGGTTACACTCTAATCCAGTAGTAGAAACCCAATACTTTATATTAGGAATGGAAACTGTATCATGCCCCCCTTCCCCGATGCTACTGAAGTTCTATGTAAGACAGCTAATGGTCACAGATTATGGAAACTACAGTTCCACATCTGAAGGGCCACAGATTCCCCAATCTTTCCTTTGATGAGCCATTATGTTTGCATTTTCTTGAAACAAAATTTACTGTGTAGTATGTTAAATATACCCAGGAGCCTTATGGAGCAGTAGTTAAACTGCACTACTGCAGCTAAACTCTGCTCACAACCTGGGTTCAATCCCAGCTTGCCAGCTCAATGTTGACGCAGCCTTCCATCTTTCCAAGGTTGGAAAACTGAGTACCCAGCTTTTTGGGGGGGGGGGGGCTATGTGCAGCCTGCATAATCACATTGTAAACCACCCAGAGAGTGCTTTCAGCACTATGGGGTGGTATATACGCAGCACACTTTTTTTGCTTTTGGTGCAGTGGATACAGTGATGGACTAGGACTAAGAGGACCTGGGTTCAAAATTCCCACTCAATCATGGACACATACTGGGAAAGCAGCACTGGTAAAACCCTGAATAACTTTCCTTTCAAATCCTACTTCAGTTGCAATAAGCAGAATACAACTTGATGGCACATAAAATATGTTACATATAAACAAAATATTGTATGCCAATTTGCTTTGCACATATGCAAATCTATCACTTGATATCACTGGACAACATGCAATTAAGAAAATACAACATACCAGGAGAATCATCTACAACATGTTCTTCCACTTCATAGTCATTTACAGGTTCTGAAGGGGAAAATGAAGAAATAGTTTTGCTTTTTAACATACATAGCTGAAAATGGAGCCGAGTTCCAAACAAGCAGCAAACTGGTCTACCAGTTTGCAGATTTGCAGGCCTATTTTGGAAAGAATAATCAAATAAGCACTTAAGCCTTAAATGTTAATGACTAAGAATATAGGATACAGGACCATGCATATATTCTTCCAGCGACTCTCCTCTATAATTTCTGTATGTCCTTGCTCATCTTAGTCTAAAATGAAATTCGCATTAGAATATTACTTTCTCTGTATTCTGCACATTAGTTATAAGAGGAAACAGGCAGAAGGAAAACCATACACAATATCCAATTATTGATCCCTATTTCTTTATAAAACAATGCAAGGTTGGTGAATATATCACAGTGAATATATCACGGTCAGTCAGGTCATCTATTCATAGAATCTCCTCCATGGCTAAACAGCATTGTGCACCGTGAGAAGATCTTCATAGCATGTGATATATATTTGTTTGTAAAGCTGATCTGTACCAGTCTACATATCCTGTAACATCCTTAGCTTTAGGGACTATCTCCCCCACTCCCGCCAGTCAGAAAAAGAAAACAAAAATAACACACTGGCAACTGGACCACTGCTAGCTCTAAAAAAGTATCTTGTAAGTTATTATGCAGAGCACTTCAGTTATAGGCGCTACTGCAAAAATCTGACCTAGGGATTCAAACTAGAAAACACAAGACTACACAAAAATTTTAAGAAATCATCTCTCTCAATCTGGGCAGAAAACCTGTACAGATGTTTGCAATAGGAGTCACTCTGTGGACAGTATTTTTACCAAAATACTGACTGTATTTCTGTTTTAACAATTGATTTTGGTTAGTGATTTGGATGACCAAACTGTCATCTGGTAAAAGGGTTTGATTACTGAAAATTTTAAAAAGTCAGAGTAGATATCTGTTGTGGGAAACACATTTAATTTTGTATTATTTTAGATACCTTCCTGAAGGGATCCATGCCTTTCTAGCACTTCTGGAATTTTATCTCTCAGTTCTTCATTATATTCCTCCTTTACTATAGAAATGTCAGGTATTTCATAATTCTCTTCATCCTCCTGAAAGTTTGTTTCTTCATGAGCATGTTCTTCATCTGTTTCACTTTCTTCTTCTTAAAGTATTGGAAAATATCAGAAAAGCAGCTTATTGAACATGGAACAAAACAGTATCATGAACAGGCAACTAGGCTGAATAGCATGCATTACTCAGTTACCACTGATAGGGCAAGACAGGAGGAAGGAGAAGAACAAAGTCATGGATGCAATTCAGTCTAATCAAACATTTGAAACCTTTTTCTTTCATTGAAATCAGGTAAGTGATTTGATGAGATTGTGCAACAGGCATTCACAGCGACCACAAGATATTTTATACCGTGGTGCAACTGAAGGAACAGATGGAGGCAATCATTAGGCTGTACAATCATTTGTTCATTAGAGGAAGAAAGCAATGGTTATAAACAACCATAGCCAAATGCTCAGTGAGATATAAGGCTACCTACTATCTTCCATTAATCAAAATGACTAGCTGATCCTTGATTTGAAAAAAAGTTCACTATGATGTAACAAGTTCATACCAAGCTGTGAGTCAAGGACTTCATGCAGCACAGACTCAATTTCATCATCCGGTTCTGGTTCCAGAATACTCCCATGTTCTACATTAGGTTACAGAGGAGATCAACAGACAATGAATAGAATGGAATGAATCTGAAAAAACTGATAATCAAAACACAAATAATTCAGAGGGGCTCATAGATTTCACAAGACAAAAAATGTAACATTTTTTGCAACCATCAGCCACTCTCATGACAGTTAATGTGTGGTATTTTAGGCCTGAATTTTTAAAATATACTGTATACAGTATTTTGAGTCAGAATCTTTTATCTGAGCTAACAGAACTGGTGAGGGTTTTTTTCACCAGAGCTATCATTATGAGCCATTTCTTAGTTCAGTATGAACTGTACCCATAAATGTAAGCAACATACACTCTCCTCTCACGCAGACCGGATATCTGCAGTTTCTAGTCAATGCTCTAGTTTCTAGCAGAGCATGGAGTGTCAAAATGATCATTTTTTGCTTTTCTCATGTGCTCCCCTCAAAAACCAACCAAACAAAAAATCACCACAAAACAAACTGCAGTTCTTTTGCCTTCAATACATAATGATGCAGCAAACTCAAATCATAATTCCATTTGTTAGGAGCTTTTTTTACCCACCCATGCACCCCGCTCCATGTAACTGACAATGTGTGATTAAATGCTACAGAATGTAGCATACCAGAATGTAGAGCTAATCAAATGCCAGATTCAGTCAAGAACCATGACCAACTTGCTTGGTAGATCAAAAGAGGCAATGAGGCGCCTATTATGGCAATTCTACATTGCATAAAACTTATATATATGTATGCACTGGTATGCATGTTAAATAACTGGGTTTTGACCAGTAGAGGTAAGTTGGATGTGTGTCTGGGAGTCTGCTAAAATAAACTGAGAAGGGGAAATAAAATGTGTGTGGATAGAACTGTGTTCTGATTGGATGGTATGCTGCCTGACTGTAAAGATTCTGTAAAAGGTGTGGTTGCATGAAAAGAGTGTTCAGTTAATTTTTTCAGACACAGTTTTGAGAGAGATTTATACTAAGTCAGAGTGAAGTCTGAGTCTCAGAGATGTGTGGTGCTTTTATGGAGAACCCCCATAGAACTTGTGTCAAAACAGCATCCAGCTTTTTCTCCCTCTCTAAAGAATTCTGCTTAAGAAAGTGAGAAAAGATCTCAGCTGTATAATAAGTTAACAGCTTCTAACATTGTATCTTATTTTTTAAAAAAAATAAACTTAATAGATCTTTATTATTATTTTTAAAAATGAGCAGTCACTAGATATTATACCATGCATACTGCTGGCTAATGCTGGGACAGTTAGTCAAGGCTGTGTCACCAAATTAACAGAGGCTGTTTCATTCTTTTAAAAGGGGTAGTGTAAATTCAGCCCTTAGCCGTAGTAGTGTTAACAGCAGAACATGAATCCTGGCTGTTTGCCGCTTTGGCAAAAGGAGTCCCCAGTTTCAAGTTAAACGGAAACTCCAAATTTAGTGAAGAGATTTAGTGGTGGCGGCTGTTTGATGGTGGTACACACTGAGTTGAGTCACTACAGACCAAAAGCAGGAAATTGTGGTAACAATGAACTTGAAGTATCCAACTGTGAAATGTAATGGTAGTTTGCTGACAACTCAAATAGTGTGTGCTATGGTTGCAAGATTTGTGAATTTTTTTGTTTGTTGCTGTTACAGGTAATTCACAACTCATGGATTACACTTCTCATTCTCTTGTGTTAAGCTTACCTCTAACAAGACAATTATTTCAAAGATTTATTCTCAAAGGCTTTCATGGCCGGGATCTGATGGTTGCGGGTGGAAGAACAACCTTCAGAACATGGCCAAAGAGCCCCAAAAACCCACAACAACTATTTCAAAAATATTGAAATATTTAAAAAGAGAAGGTAAATTCACATAACATAATTCTGAATTACTTTGTGAGACACAATGTGGCATAATGGATAGACTAGGAATAAGGAGACCTGTGTTGAAATGCTGAGGCTATCAACAGCAAGTTACTCCTTCAGAATTTCATATTATCTAAACAACTCTACAAAGGTTGCCACAAGTTAGAAACTACCAGACAGATCATAACTGGGGGGCGGGGGGAAGCAGCTGGACAACTGCATACTATATAAACTATATAGTCAACTAAATAAATTTATTTTCATCTTTCTGCAGAAAATAGCTACATATGAAGCTGCCTTACACTTGAGTCAGACCACTAGTCTGCCTTGCCTGGTATTGCGAATTCTAAGTGGCAACAGCTATACAGAATTTCAGAGAGAAATCTCTCCCAGGACTAGCTGGACACCCCTGATATATTGTGTAGTCTGCCATCCAAGGAATAACCACATTTCATTCTACTTAGTTTACAAAATAAGATGACACTGGAGTGTGTTGGATGAACTGGTGATGTGCTAATGATGTGACAATGAATTTTTATATTAAATGTGGAAGTGGAACATGCAATCTGCAAGCAGACTTCAAGTGCTAGGAAACTTATGAAAGTGATATAAATTTCAAATAAAAACATGTTGTACAATTTGGCACATTCTCTTACAGCTCATAGTCATTTCTTTTTACAATATTCCATCCCTGAAGGAGAGAAAAAGAATTGCATATATTAAGAGCAAAAAAAGTTGAATGTCTTGGTAAAAGTCTTCATTGTAGTTAAGTCTCAGAAGATACTCATGCCAGTTTATTGCAGGAAAAAGAACATGGAGTCTTGCTGTTATATTTGATATAGGTTTCAATGCACTGTAATCTACTTGACAGAGACTACCTGATGCAATGAAGAAGTGGGCTACAGTCCATGAAAGTTTATGCCAAACAAAACTTTTCATTAAAGTATTGCAATGTACCCTTTTTAAAAATATATATGTTTGGGTTAGTTTCAATATATAAAAAGTATCTGTTAAAGAAACTATTGTTGTGTGGAGAAATCTGCCTATTGTTGGATGGCCATATGTTGGATATTAAGTTTTATAACAGAACAAACTCAGCTTTCATAATCTTTGATTTACATATCATACAAAATATGTTTCCACAGGACATACATTTAGAATAGTTTCAGTGGAAATATGCAGATAAACAACAATTCATGAACCAGAAACTAAATTCACCTGAGTTACTGATCTTTCATTTTTAAAAAAAGCAGCTGAATTGCCTCAGTAATCTTCCCAGCAATCTCTTTATCTGCCTGATGTTAAAAGTCTGCAAAATGAAGGGGAGAGCAGTACAGCACCTGGCTGAATGTATGCATACCCATTTTAAATGGGTATTTCTTCTTGGTTATTAACAATGATTGGACTATGCAGTGGTTTAATTTCTAATATACTGAATTCCAATGTGGATTTGTTAATACAATGTGGCAGCAGAGCCCCAGACTGACAGAAATCAGCAGAAGTTCTTCGATTCTTTAAGATAGATTGAACAAGTATGTGGCATCATCCTGAATAATCTAACCTCCCATCATCTAAAACATGGTAACTAGTCTGTCATCCAGGCCTCTAGAAACCATCATCCCTCCTGCAGGGTCTATGCCTCATCAATTTCTATGGTCCAGAGTTATTGGTGATAAAAGATCTAGGTTGAATCAATTTTCATATAACTTAATGCACATCGATAGCTTAGTGGGTTCATTATGAAAGCATCCCTACAGTGGTAAATACTACACTCTAAGGGGCTTAAATACTGTATGACAATATTTGGAGATACCTTGTTTAAGACAATCCTAGAATGCTATAGATATGCATTGCGAAAGTTTAAACCCTCTAAGTTTAAGTGATTTTATGTACCACTTACCTGCTTTTACATGTGGTTCCTCTACAGGTTGAATCACCTCCTCAGTATCTTTTACAGTTGGCTGTTCTGGGACAGATTTTTCTTTTAGTCCTGTATTGTTTAGTTATAAAGTTAATTTTAGCTTTTATGGTACAAAATTTTGAATTGGGGGTGAGGGTGTCAGGATTTTTGTTCTGATACATATACAGTACAGTAGTATCTCAGTTTACAAGTTTAATGTATTCTCCAGGATGTTACAAAATTCCAAAAAAAAAAAACATCATAAACCGAAACACGGTTTGACATAGGAACAAGGGTGGCGTTATAAACCTCCAGGCACAATGCATCCTGGGGAAACTTCCTTCGTACTGCAGAAAAAAATTGTAAACTGAGGCATTTTTTTCAATGGATTTATGTTTCTAAACCAAAGCTTACGTTAACTGAGGTGTTCGTAAACTGAGGTACTACTGTAATTAAGAGACCACAAATCTACAGGACAAAAAAGGACTGGAAGCATAAAAAAGAAAACAGTTTGCCATTTCACTGGAATAATTTGGCAAAGAACGCTTCAGGCAATGGCACAATTTTTTAAAAGTTTATGTAATTTTTTTTGTGAAGAAGTGGATGGTTTGCTAGAGCTGGGGCCGACTTCCACATTCCCACCCCAGGAGAATGCCCACAGGAGAGGAATGACTGCCTGGCAGCCAGTTAAGGGAGATGCGCAGCTCACTCCAACAAGTTTCTACTTCAGGTGGGTCAAGACCGTGAGCACAGCAACAGAGTCACAGCAACAGAGATAGTATTAAAAGGACGGAAGGTTCCAGATCCTTCAACTGGCAGGCTGGATGGCTATAGCAAGAAGAGAGGATCCCAGCCCAGGAAGGAGAAAGTGAGTGGAGAGGAAGAAAGTGTGGGAGAGGGAGAGGTATGGACTGATGCCTTGGACTGGGCCATCAACTTTTGGCACTTTTTCTTCTCTATTCTCTTATTTTAGCTACACAACTTTCGCCAACTTTTGCACTGCCTCAGAGCCCAAGACTCGGAAGCATGGAAAGCACAGTGATGCCGGGAGTTAGCGCTCCCCAATGAAGAACTTGCCATTGGTCCCCCTGATTCACTACTGTTGACATCAAAGCAAATGCCAACCCAACTCAATTGCATTATTGTCAAAGGCAGCACCAGTTCAAGTGGGTCTGTCAGCTAGAGAGGAGCTTCCAGGCAAAAATGTAAAGGATTGCACTGAACTGGTGCCAGCCCACTTCAACAACCAGAAATGGCAAGAGAACTGCCCTGTCTAGACATGCAGGACTGGTTCTGACAGGAAAGACTGTTCGGAATTCAAGGGGGCATGTTTTATAAATGCACAGTGAAGTTCAGGGGTAGCATAATTCAGCCTACTATGTCCTGATAACAATGCTCAGGAGGTCTTTGTTGTTCCTCTACCCACGGAGGGCCTCGGGGACCAACAATAACATGACTTGGAATGAGAGTGGCAACTTATTAGTAAACAGCAATTTGTCACCATAATTCACAGAGTTACACCTACACTGATGTAAATCTACTATAGGATTCTGGTCAATGAGAGTAGCAGAGCACAGCTCCAAAGCATTATGTCCAAATAAGACCAATGGAATGCTCATATGTGACCCTACTGATTTATGGCACAAAGTTTTGAATTATACATGGGTAGGATGTATGCTGCTGGATGAAACTCCAATTCCTGCTCCATCTCTTCCAAATCCATGCATTTCAGCAACAAGCACCATCAACACCACACGAGAAACCATACAATAAAATGAGTGGAGATTAGTGAGAAATATTTTGACATCTAAAGTAATCATGGTTCACTTCAAGAAACTCATACACTGGGCTACCCTTTATCCATCACAACTCCAAAGTAATGAGAAACATTCCTGGAACTCTGCAGTTTGCTCATGACTACACATGCTAGCTTTTCCCCCAGGAGACATAGTGGGCAATCAAACTCCCAACCTGAGGCTCTGCAGCCAGATACCTAAACCACTGAGGTATCAAGTCACTTAAATAAATCAATATATTTATATTTTAGAAAGCAGTTGCATATTCTTCCTTATTCTTTTATTGTACATTGTTTTTATTGTTGTTTTATCTGAAAATGTATGTCATTTCAAGCAGCTCGGAGGCAAAGCATCATTGACAAGCCTTTAAAATAAATGTTTACTGAAGGACATAGAAACCACATACACAAAATGTCTCAATGGATAGTACCAAACAAAACAAGGCACTCAGATTTTACTATATGTAATCCTGTGCACACTCACCTCACTGTAACTCCTACTGAGCACAGAAGGACTAAGAATATGTACAGAACTGCACTGCAAAACCTTCCATTCTTCTAGCAAAAGGTTACCATATTTTTCCATGTATAAGACAATACTATTGTCTAAAATCTTCAGACTAAAATTTGAGGGTCTTCTTATACACAGAATCTGAGGAGAAAACCATGTGATTGCAAAACTGCCGAGACCTTGCCTCTGCAAACAAGCTTCCTTCAATCATGAGGCCTAGTTGCGTCCAATCACGAGGCATAGCTTCCTATAGTCAGGAGATTTATCCTCCTCCAATCACGAGCCTTATGCAACTGACGTCAGCTGATACTGAACAAATCAATTGGAACACACCTTGTTGGAGGTGGAACGTGTAGACAGTGCTCAGATGCAACAGGGATGGTAATGTCAGAGTGTTCTGAGCCCAGAGGTTGAATAAAGTGATATGTTCAAAGCTAAGTGTGATGCATAATATGACAGTACTGGTATGTAAATGATACCTAATTACTAAATAAAAATGTATTCTGTTTTATGTTTAAAATACTTTATTGATTTCTTAATTTTGAGTTGAAAAACTGGGGGAAGGCTTTTTTTTAAAATGTAACTAATAATACTTTCATTGATTTTAAGAAATAAGAGTTCTATTTACTGAAAATGTTTTTGGTGCCTTATTTTACAGAATAGTGATTATCAGCTTTGGGTAACCTAGGTGTTCTTGAACTGCAACTCCCAGAAACACCACCCAACACAGCTAGTGGTGAAGGCTTCAGGGAATTGCAGTCCAAGACTGGGAACCACTGTCATAGGAGAATGTGAATGATTGTAAAGCTCTGCAAAATGAAAGTTGATGATCATTACAGGAAATACCTGACTCATTTCAAATTTTAAATTTATAAAGTGAATTAAAAATATGAATGGCAGTATAAGCCAATAAAACAACATGTCCAATCTTGAATTCTTGGGCGGGAGCTTCGATGTAAATGTCATATGTTTGTGAGTGTATGGGTGTGATTAGAGAGGGAAATAGATTCCAATTTGGTTCCTTTATGAAGTAGTCCAGTGAAATCTATTTCCCAGCAACCACATTATGCATATGGAAAGAAACGCCAACGCATCCCCTGTAGGACTTCTACTTTCTGGAGCCAGGCTGGAGCAATTCCTTGGGAGACAGAAGGAGTGCACATCTGCATCTGTTTGACTATACTCTTTGTCTTTGTGCACAATCATAACATTTGGTGTGAGGCAACTGCATACAGAATTCATTCAGTCCCACAAATATGTCAATTGCCCAGGAGTCCCTTTCTGCAAGTGGGAATCCATACCTATAATGGTCTTCAGGCTATACATGAAACAAATAATAATAATTAAAAAAACATACAAAGCTGTACAGTGGGGTCGTGACTTAAGAACAGCCTGAGTTAAGAACATTTTGACTTAAGAACCACTCTCATAGGAAAATATTGACTTGACTTACATACTTAGATTTGAGTTACGAACTGAAAAAAACCCACGTGGGAGGCAGGGAAAGTGCAAAATTTGAACTTTCAGTTAACTGTTGGCCAGTGAAAAGGGTACCTGTCTGCTTCCTCACTCCTCCCAGCGTTAAGAGAGTGGATTGGGAGACAGTCTTCGGACTGCCTGGTACTGTACTGCCTGGACTGTATTTTCCCTGCCTTCCCTGAACCTTTCTTGACCTAAGAAAAAAAGAAACAGAATATCCCCCTCTAGTGGTCGAAGGCAGAATAGCAGCTTCCCATTAGTTTCTATGGACGGAAAAGAGCAGATACGGATCAAATGGTTCTCAATGCATTCCTATGGGAAATGCAGATTTGACCTGAGAACTTTTTGACTTGAGAACCGCCTTCCAATACGGATTAAGTTCTCAAGTCAAGACCCCACTGTACAGTATTTATGACTAAATAATTTGTCTCAATTTTGAAAAGGTATACAAACAGCCTATGTACAAGGTACAATTCCAGAAGCTCAAATTTCATTTCCTTCACATAAGACTAAACTTGACTTTTGTTAAAAATTGTTATGAAGCTCATGAAATGGCTAGCAGATCAAATGTTTTCAAAATACTGTTTTCTGCAATTGGAATATACTCAAAATGCCTTCACACTCCATCTCACCTGCAAACTAAAGAATCTGTCATTGCCCCACCCAACACAGACTGAAAAGGTAATTTAGAATATTCTCCATCTTAACTAAACTAATGACAGACAAACCCCAAACAACTCAATCCAGAACAATCTGTATACTTCTGCACCAATGGGGATAATTTGGTGAGGTGGGAAATAAAGTTTTCACTTCAAAATTTTAAGTTCAGATACTTCAGGCAGCTTCCATTTTCCAGCTGGGCACCATGGCACCACAAGAAATAGGCTGCAAGAAGGAAGGGAGGCTACAGAGAAGTGGTGAGTCTGTCTTAGCTGGAGTGGGCAATATTGAATATTTTGAATTACAAGGCCTGCATTCCTTTCAGGGCAATATGGTCAGACCCGTATACCTGCTGTGGAAAATGACATGTCCTTCTCTTCTTCTTGACACAGTTTCATCAATGACCTGGGAACTCTCTTTAGTGGGAAATTGCTAGGAATGCTATTCCAAATCCTCACCCTTTCATGCAGAGCACTAGAAGTCCAACATCAATGTATGTGCCTGGGCATAATCTTGAAATTATTCTAAATTTGTACAGTAGTCAACGAATATAAAGAACTTGGCTTTTCATAAGAGAAAATGCATTTATGTTTTTAGTTAGATGTAACTGCCTTCCCCTTGCAAACCCATTTCTACAATACACTG